ACATCGACCACAGAAATGGTTACCACCGCCGAGTTCGCTTCGAAGGGTGGAATAGCATCGAGTGGCGAGAAAGACTTCATTTGGTCCAGAAAGGCAGAATTAATGGCATTTGCGACAACACGGTCTGGAAGATGGTGATCCAGTCCCTCAACGTGGAGTAGCGAACGCAGATTGTCAGAACCTGATGCAGGAGTCATCCCAGCGATACGCTTGACCTCCCCCCACCATTGGGAGGGCTTGGTGTTCTTTAGATGTTTAACTTTAGAAGCAAAAACCTCTCACGAAGAGCTTTCCGCTCCCGGTTAACAGTATTTCGAAGGTGACGGAAGCTGGCTAAATCCCCTGACATAAAAGCTTGCAGACGCTTGGCGATTAGAGTCTTAAATTCAGGAGTAATCCACGGAGGGTCATTAAGATGAACCTTAGATTTCACTGCGGGCATGATAGCATCCAGACCTGCGGTGATGATGTCACACAGTTGTCTAGAGCGATCATCAATATTAGGGGCAGAATCCAAAATGGACCAATCAACGGCTGAAAAGAACCGTCCTAGTTCGGCTTTCCTACTAGCACGTGTGTCACACCTCGAAATTAACTTTCTGCTAGGCCCAGCGCGGGATGGCCTCTTTTTAGTGCGGACGATGACGACGTTATGATCTGAAAGACCAAACGGTGGCAGGGTGTAAACAGCGTTCTCGTCATACGTATGTGACAAGTTGGTCAACACGAGGTCCAGTATCTTATCGCCTCTCGTTGGCTTATCGATAATTTGCTTCAACTTGAACTGCGATGTGAGGCGGCTAAGGCTCAACCGATTAAAATCGCCGCACACGAATATACCACAACCGGGATACTGGCCCACAATGTCAGTCAGTGTAGTAGTAAGGTGGTTAAGCATACCACTAGTGTTAACGCCTAACTGTGGGTGGTAGACAGTACCAGCAACCAGGCAGGGGAATCCTCTAGGCAGCCTCCTTGGCCTAAGCCACACCCAAAGTGACTCAAAATCAGGGTCCAAAAATTCATCGTGCGGTTTAAATTTGATGGAATCATGGATGTAAAGTCCTACACCACCATGGATATCCACACAACGATTTCTTGCGATAAACGAGTAACCAGGAATATTAACTTGGCTGTCACTGATGGTCTCACGTAACCTAGTTTCTGTGAAGAAACCTAAATCAGGCTTTACGTTCAACATCACAGATCGCACTTCGTCGATTTTAGGCGCTAACGACTGTGTGTTTGCTAGTAAGATGTTCATGCCAAACTCGTGTTCCTCTCGTCGCGGTCGACAGTTTATCACGGAGATATTGGACGGATTACGGCCTCGGGGTGCCGTACTTAAGGTGCGATGGCGATTTTGCGATCCGATTGCCGTGACAGGTTGATTGTTTATCGAACCGATTGGAAAGGTGTCAAGTTGAATATTTAATTGAGACGGAGGAGGAATATGCAAAACACGTCTTTCCGGTAAATTTCCAATCGTTGGTGAACAAAATGTTGATTCCAGAGAAGGAGTGGCGCAGAAATTATTAGTACGATGCAGAAAAGTGGTAGAGGTGGTAGTGCATGATCTCCTTCGACCACCACGAGTTCCGCGCCGAGTAGGTTTCACCCTCGAGATGCCAAAATGAATTGATCGCCGCCATACACCGGGGTCCAGTCTTGAGATAGCGATGGACAACGAAATAGACTGTAAAATTTGTCTAGAATAGCAAAAAGCCATAGCAGGACGTAAATAGGGCTGTGGCTTGAAGATAAACATTCAGTGAATTGATATTCCCATTCTTTAGCACTCAGAGGCCTTCTGACACAAAGGTTTGCTATGCTAGTTCTTATTGCATTGTGTTAATCAATGTTATGATAATATAATTTTGAGATGTAAAGAAGACAATTAAAAGATTGAGAAATATATCCAAATCAAGATTTTTACTTTATACTGTTTCAGTTACCATAAGATTTGTTTGGAAGAGAATCTTTCAGACCATCGAATTGTAAGAGAAATTATTTTTTGCAAGACTTCTATCAAACGTTTTTTTTATGAGGACAATTTTGTGAATGATAAAATTTAGTGTTATAGTTCATCTTTGTGTCGAGAACTCTTTTAGTTGGCGAAACTCACTTTTTCTTTTTTTTCAATTTGAAGCATCAAATTGATTGATACATAAAGCACACAAAATATATTTTTTGAGAGTTCCATGTGGCATGCATGGTGGATTACTATGCTATCCTAAAAACAAAAACAACAACCACTGAAAACTGCTGTTGTCACAATTTGTGTCAGTTATCTGGGTCTGCAATAATAAGTGAAAACTCTGAAGATACAGTGTCTTGGTTATTTTATTAAAAGCAATTACTTTCCAAGAGTTTCTCTGCTAGGAGTGTTTTAGGCAAGCCATGTAATAAACAGGTGAGCAGTACTGAACTTATTGACTTACTGCCGGAATAAAAAAAAACTCTATTGAACTTAAAACAATTCAGGTACTTAATAGAAAATTTGTACTAATTTTACAACAATAGTCACCCTCATCTATAATTCACAGAGAATAAGATGAGTATAGAACGATAAATACTTAGCAAAAATACATGCCTCCGTACATAAACTTGAAGTGGTGAAAGTTCGTAGGCAGACCATTGGGGCCATAAAATGTATTTGAACAACCAAAAGTGGCACACTGCTTTCCTTTCTTTTTGGAGAAAAATCAGCTTTATCGAGATTTCGGCTAGGACCATCCATTTTCCTTAAAAATCGAACAATTTTACTGTCCACGTACGAATTTCACCAAAAGCGCTCACGGGGATTTAACACGAGTCAGCCCCAGCCTCGCTCTCACATGTGTGCGGTTGCATGTCCAATATTGGGCTGGGAATTGTAAAAAGGTCCATTCCGCCATGACTGTTATTGTGCAAGATGATCATCTCACAGCTGGAGCTTGGGCCGCCTGTGGACCCACTGAATTTCGCAAGAATTCGCTAAAATGGACTCGTTACAACAAAGTAAGCGGTCAGACAACAAGCGAGGCACTGTAGAAGTAAGGTGAGGTATTGACTTATTATTCTGGCCGTAAATGGGCCAGAATCAGAAATTCGGTTTGATTTTTCCTCTGCAGGAAAACACACAATAGGCATTATATGGTAGTTTGTAATTGTCGTAAAGCAATGTGGTGGATATGGCCTAGGAACGAGGTTGAGTTTTAGTATCGAGTGTATTCAGGCTTGAAGTGCTAGTCCGCGCATAAACGATAACCAAGCTTGTTACAGTTTACACTTATCTTTGGAGTAAACTTTAAAATATTCATTTAAAGCACAAACCAAATACTGTGAATTGCTTCAGTTGTTAACGTATTGATAAAAAAAAACAACCGTGTGAACATTTCAAGTTTAATGGCTGAATGATTTAATTCCATTAATTTATTCAACTATCTTATGTAAACATTGGCGATGGAATCGATCAGTAGATTACTTCAGCGGACGAAAAACTACACTTTTCTGACAAAAAAAACTTGTGAAAGTCACCGCCACATATCTTTAATTTCAATCAGTCGAAAAACTTGCGGTCCATAAAATGCCTTCTGTTGTATATCGTTCCGAGACAGAGAACTTCAGAGATTTGTTATCAGATGCAAGCGGGAGAAAACCTGGTAAACAAAGATCATCACGTTCTAATGAAAATATATATTGAGCGGCTGTGAGGCGAAACTTGACTTAGGAAATTTGGCTTGTGCAGGCAGAGAAAGATTTGAATCGCAGCGTTAAAATTTGATGAATTATGCAACCGGAAATTTGATAGACGCAGAATTCTATCTAGTATTGATTTTGTGCAACGCTCGAGCTATGCGGTTATCATTCTTCGGGGTTGAATTGTTACCAAAATTCTAGATTCCTCCGTGACTAAAGCTAAGTCACGATGTGACTTATTCCTTTTCTGTTGACTTTGCCGCGGTACTTACGTTAGCCCCCGCATTCCATCTAGCGATTTTAGTATTTCCAATTTGTCGTGCCATCAACTTGTTTCAAAGTCTTAATCTTCATAACTCTTCATGTTAAGTGAACAATGACAAGCACTCAACGGCGATTTTGCTGGAATCCGCAAGGCCTTCAATTCGTTCCCTCTGAACCCCAAATCCGGCCAGAATATAGGCTCTGTGTAGCCTCTGGAGCTTGCTTATAAGTATACTTTCTCACCCGCAGAAAATAACTCCAAAGATATGTTTCTGAAAACCTTATTCTAGGTATCCTCTATTCTTTAAGCGTATTTGAAACTAAGCGTCTTCATTAAACGTGGAGCATGACTAAATCGTTACTAGGAGGCATAAGGCTTCTCATTTAATGAATCACGTATTTACGCCTTTAAGTGGATAACACGAAAAAAGGTTCGTGTATTAGAAGGACTCTGTCTTTTTTAAATGTGTTTGCATTTCAAGGGTCGATTCCCCTTAAATATTATTATTCACACAGCCATCGGCCGTAAGTGTAATTGCTGCCAATTGTGTAGATTTTGGACAAGAACGCACCTTCCATTCTCTTTGAATCTCGCCTGTGGCTTTCTGAGAGGAACTTGTCACTGAGGAATAGCAGGAGTCGTGTAGGCCCGTAAACAGTTTTTAACTTTCAAAGGAACGGCAATAGACAGTGAATCCCAATAAACTTCCAAGCATATTCACGCTTTTTCGCTGCCATTCGACCGCGACAGGATGCAAACGACTCATTTTTTGTTTAATTTATCGAAGAAGTTACTAATTAAATGACTTAGAGTTCGCGATATCTAATCGTTCCTCCACGTTTATGAAAAGGTTTTGAACACACACTTGTCGACCTATCTCATAAGATATCGTTATGTTCCAAGAAACATTATAGTGTTAAGTTCAGCAAGCAATTAATTACTTGCAACTGAGTTACGCTTTGCACGGTGAAAGCACTTCACTGAAAAACAGCTGCTATTTTCATAAATATCGTAATTTTGAACAACTGCGTGCATTTACCTAAGATTTACTTACATTGCTTGGAAGTCAAATATCGATGACAATGGCCACCACTTCCCAACTGCATTGGTTCTGTTCTCAAATCTAGCTTACTGAAATCAAGCGTATCCCGTTCAATAAACCTTCTTAACTTCATACGTCATAGATTGGCCAGTTTCTCCGAAATGTATAAACAAAAGTTGTAGCCATACAAAGAAACTACCGAGCGTGAAGATTGGTCCAATACGGATTTGTCTGCACGTAAATTCGCTGAGGATCGGCTAAGCTTCAGGAGTTAAGTATCCATTATATATTTCTTCAACTACTTATCGCACGAATTTGTATAAGTTAATAGTCAGAAAAAATGATTTCATCTCGCTCCGGTCTATAAATGTAATGTGGTTGTTGTTTCAGAATTCTCCACTGCGCCAAGGAAAATCTCTGCGGAGCGCTGGTTCGACAATCAATACGACTCAGTGTATCTTCTGATTTTTTGCGTTAATTTACGATCCATACAATATCTGAGCTTTCTACATTCAATCGTTCCCAATAACTTCTGTTCCAAGATGTTATTTATCTGCTACTACGATGGAAATACACGCCTGAACTACGTAAAGCCAAGATTGACATTACTTATTCGTGATTAGCTATTTCCTGTCAATTTGATTTTAATAGCTGTTTCCTATTGTACGCCGATCAATACTTCTGTGATTTACACCCGCACGCACGCACATATTGCGAGCATGAATGAAACATCACGCAACGTCACAGGATGTTCCAACCAAACGCCCACGCACGATTTCCCTAGACAATTCCTTATCTAATTATTTCAGACAGAACACCTTCCCGACGTAGAAAGAAAACGGCAAGGACACATCCAAACCAGTCGCTAGACACTTTAATCTCCCTAGTCATTATAAACAGCATATAGCAGTTTGCGGCCTTTCCCCTACATCTAGGCAGTTCGGAAAGCCGCAATAAAACTCTAGAACAAAAATTTATTCTCCAGATCGGCACTCTTAATCTCCACGGTATCAACGAACGCTTTTCATTCAACTTATTTATAATTTTTATGTATCTCCAATCACCATATTTCCACAAATAGCGTAGCTCCATTTTCTGCATGTAAAACCCACACAAGACCCACAATTCCTCCAATTGCTCTGGCGAAGGGCTGACACTCGAAAGGTCAGCCTTTAACGGCTACGAAACTCGTTTTTGTTTTTCTTTGTTTTTGCTGCCCTCTGCCGCTTTTTGCAAATTCATTACCGACATCGTATTAAAATTACTAACTTAATAAGTCTGCTCCACGTAACTTATCCCTTTTTTCGCGGATCAAAGCGGGCAAACCCGAGCGGCACTCAGGAAGCCAATTAGAGTACAGAATTCGTTTTATTATGCCCACGGGCGCTGTCATCCATGTAATAAGGTATTCTATTACGTAAAAAATTGATAGCCATGTAAAGAGAGCTGATTGGTGTTGTTTTAATTACTAAGATATGCTGGAAGATATGAAAGCAAGTTTTATCTTAGTCTAAGATATCTCGTGAGAAGTAACATACATCAATTGTCTATCAGTAAAAGCTCTTAGTTATTCACACATTTACCAAAGACTTCCCTAGAATTTAGGAAAGGTTAATAGAAATCTAATTTTATAGAATTCACATCACGAATGGGGCCTTAAAGTATGTTTGCTAAAAATGGTTTGGTGAACGGGATATGGGCGGGTTGTTATTTGGAGCTTCATTAAAAGAAGATCATTTCCCCGTTGACGTAATTTTAGCTGATTACGAGGTTTATATGATTACGAGGGAAACCGAATATTTCTTGAAAATAACATATCCATTTTTAACATCGAGATATTTTTTAAAAGATTACTGACCACGCTCTGTAAAATTCAAAATATCTTGAATAGTACTGTTTCAGGCTAAATTCAACAACCAACCTAACTCTAAATGTTCTAGATTTTTTGCGGAGCGAGTTGTTTCTTTCAAATGACATACGACGCTCAAAAAAGACCACAAGCTTAACAGTTGCAGCGAAAAGACTCGTTTGACACGGCTTAATATCTATCAAGCTTTGAAATCTGTGGCGTCATTACCTGAAAGGAAAAAGAATAGTCAGTTGATATAACTACCTCGGGGTTGATGTATCGCTCGGATAAAGTTCACGTGATGGCTCTCACGCGACTGAATGCGTGTGACCCTAATTAGAATAATCGTGTCCCAAGGACACTTTATTCTTTGCTTTTGATAAAATAAAGAAGAAAAAAACTTTGTAAGAAGAACATCTTTTGGTTGAACTTCCCTATCTCAGGCTTGTTATTATATCATTTAATAAACTTTTGACTCACCGTAAAGGGAAAGTGCCTGAGCATTGTGGTATTCGTTCAGCCAAGCCATGGGTGGATATGGTAAGTGAGCTTATCTTTCCATACGTAGGATCTTAGCACCAAGCTTAACTTGTAATGACGCTTGGAATGTAACATATGAATGAAATTTGAGATCAAAATCAACACATTCGGGTATTCGTTTTCCATTTCCACTGACGATACAAGGTTTAAATGTTTTGACTCCTCTTCCTTCTGTTCACAAGGCGGTACAGTACTGTTGATCCAATAGTATCCAAGAAAATTACTATTTCACTGCTCGCGGATAGATGTCTAAGAGTCATTTGCCTTGAAACAGACCAGTGTTCAATTACAAAGGTTTGTAAAGCTTCTTCCTGTATGTACGGCCTGCAAATTCAAATCAAAGTGTAGCTAAATCACATTTGTATTTTAAGAATAGGACGTATGAATTTATCAACGCTCTCTTGACTATGATTTAAGCAGGTCCTGGTATAACTAGGCTATCTGGGCTTTTGATAAGATCAAGTTTTACTGAAGCTTAGCTTTACTGAACCTTTTGAGGAACCGTGGGTTTACTGAAGCAAATTGGAACGCACCCCTTGAAATCGTTGGAACTAAGTTAAGCTGAAAGAGGACTGGTAAGATATTGCAGGCTTACGACGAATTTTCGAAATATTGGTTCACGCGTCATGGATATAAAAGGGAAATTTTCAAATGTCTCTTCTTGTGTGCAAGGTTTCAAGGAAATCTTCAGGTGTTCACAAAATGGAAAAAAAATTCAGGGATCAAGTATACCTTAAGTTTCATCTCGGGAGGTGATTCTCCAGAGGGTCCAGCAAAGGAATACGATGGTTCTTGGATAGATTCGGCACCAGTTATTTTCGAGAAATGGCCATCTCTTGTCCCTGTTCTGTAAAAAGTACGCAGCTCCTGATTGTATTTTGATGCACCACACTTTCTTTCAGTACTTCTATTCCTATTGTCTTCCGGTGGCCTCTTACGCAGGAAGTTTAAAACGGACGCAGATCAGATGTGAGTTAAACTAAAGGTTAACTTTTTTTTTAAAGCCAACAGACCTGAGAGTCACGAGCTCTTCTCCTATGATATAATTAAGGGAATCATGAGAGCGACGAAGAAAAAATCACGAGCGACTGCTTTTCCGTCTGAGGTTTTAACACTCCTTCAAATCAACTTAAAGCAGTTGACATTTTCCCGTGATTAGAAGTTGAAGCAACTTAAAAGTTTCCTTGACACTCTCTCTTTGTCGTGCCCTGTTCGAAATTGTAACTGTACCTTTTCAATTTGAAATTGGCTTTGTTTTACTATTGTGGGGAAACGTATGTTTCTAAAATCTGGAATAAGGAATGGAGAATGGGGAAAGGGAAAATAAAATGAAATGGAGAATTGAAAATAGGAAAAGTTTTTTTTTCGTTGTTTTGTATTTGTTTGAGATTTACTTTTTATGAAGAGGAACAGATATTTTTCATCGATACCCACGTTCTCTTTCAAAGTCGTTGAGGGGCAAAATTTAAGGAACGAAAACATTTGATGTCAATGAAAGAAGTGAGTTTTGAGGAACAGATAATGTCCAAGGACAAATATACGAGCATATTTTCGCGCAAAATAGAAGCTATTGTGTTTATTTTCCATCAAATATTTTGCAACGCACGTGAAAGAATGTTTACGAACAGCTAATTGTTTTCTGCGTGGGATGTTTCTTGTTGAGTGTTCTCTGGTAAGACTTTATGAATAAACAAATATTTCCCTTCTTCTCATGGTAACAACCATAAAACGCTCTCCCATCTTGAATTGATTTTAAACGAAGACTTTCCTCAGTGGACGTAAGGTTTGAAAATTGGGGAGTATCACTTGGTAATACCCACGGATATCCCCCAGTTTTAGTTGGGGAATATTTGTTAACTTAATGCGTTTAGACCAGCAAGAATATTTGATGAATCATAATCTAGGACATATTTCGAGCTCAACGTCCACAACGGTAAGTCTTCGTTTAAGATCAATTTAAGGAAGGAGAGCGATTTGTGGTTGTTAAAAAAGAGGGGACATGTTTTCATATTCATAAAATCGTACCAGAGAACACTGAAAAGACAACATCCCACGCAGCGAACAGTTAACTGTTCGTACACTTTTTTTCCCGTGATTAGCAAAAATATATGAAGGATAATAAACAAAATAGCCTCCCTTTAGCGCGAAAATATGCTCGTTCGTTCACACTTCAAGGACGAGATTACTCGTGTTTACGGAAACTTTAGAAGTACACTTGCCACCGATAATCATGCAAATTACCCCTTTGAAGCCTTATAGATTCATTACCTGCTTGGCGCGTCCCATGGTCGTACAAATAAAATCATTCTTTGATAACATTTTTCAATTTCGTTGCAGTCGTTAGCTTGAAAAGGCAAGTGCTGAGGTCTCTGACTTAAGAGCAAAATTTCCCACACGTACTCACACGCACGTATGTAAACAAGTCAGACAGTTATGATTATTCACAGACGCAGAGCTAATCAAAAAGTACAAGGTTCGGTCATTTTCTAAAACACGGAATCCCAACAAGAGAAAATATCCTCCTTTCATGCGTGTCTCAAATCGATCGGCTGCACTGTTTACATGAAACTGCTGCTGATCGCTCTTTCCAAGAAGCTTCACAACAGTTGTACACTTATCTTCACCAACAACAATCTCAACTGCGAGAAATTTCTTTGGATGACAATTTTCTGACGTCTGCATGACTTAACGGCTACCTTTGCGTCGGTATATAGAAAAATTATTGAATTTAAATTTTAATTTAAAAATTTTAAATATTAATAATTACTTCATTTTTGTTTTCCTTCCTTTGCTATAATGCAGTGTTAACTGTTTTCTATCCGGAGATGACAAAGCATGGGTATAGGAAGATCTCACAAGACGACGAAAAAACTCCGCAAAAAGTTGGCTTTGTTTCTTATGTTCTCTTCCTATGGATGAACAGTGTCTTCAGGACAGGTAAAAATCGAGCGTTGGAGCAAAGTGATTTCTTACCTCTTTCAAAAGAAAATAGTACTTCATTCCTAACCCAAAATCTTCAAGAGAACTGGAGGGAGGAAGAGAGAAAATGCCATGAAACTCCGCGAGGACGACCAAAGCTTTGGAAAAGCGTCATAACAACAATCTCTTCTAGGGAACTAATGATCCTCATTTGCATGGGTATTTTTCGCTCATTCTTCCGTATTCCCCTTCCTCTGCTCCTTGGATATCTAATTGCATCGCTGATGTCTTCTGAGCCACAGCAGAAAATGTTTCTCTATGGTTGTGCGCTGGCTCTTTTTATCAGCGCCTTGATGGAAAGAGTGACAGCTCAAATGATTATGTACAGATGTGAATTACTGGGAATAACAATGAGTAGTGCACTTAAAGGTCTTGTTTATCATAAGGTAGGTATTCTTACTTATAGAAAATGTAGAGCATGTAATAATTTAGTCGAAAAGCAAAGGTCTCAATCGAATAACTGTTTTAATAAAAACGCACACAACTGCTGATGTATACCTCTGTACCTGATGTATAACTCTATACCAACCAGCTTTCATTTGCATTGGTTTAACAACGACCGGAAAACAAAAGTAACTTTCGCTCCAAACAATAACATGATTTACAACTTCATGCCAGTGGATGAATATAAAATAATGAGCGCAGTGTAATTTTCAATGTCCTTCAATAGAAAAGTAGACATTCTGAAAGTTTACAAAGCTTTGCACAGTCTGAAGTAGTCCAAACCGAAACGTTTTCATGTGGAAATTAATCTGTCCGCATTGAGAATGCAAGCGAAAAAAGCATCCATAGCCACTCAGGTCGACTTTTTTTTTTTTTTTTTTTTTTTGTAAAATGTGCCATCTTGTTTGATCGCGGACGCGTAAAAGGATTTAAGACAAGATTTCAGCGCTTCAGTTTGGGACCGTGAAGCTAATATGAAAAGTCAGTGACACAAAGACCGCTTAAATTTCCGTACGTACCTTGATGTATATATACCGACCGAATTAAAATAGCTTTTTCGACGGGATATTGGAGTCGCTAGTCGTAGGCTCTTGGACAAACCAATCTTTTTCCGCCATCTCTTCACGGCTCACTCACAGAAAATTTCTTTTCACTTCGCTGACAAATTCATTGACCATATTTGTCGGTTTTGGGTTATGAGCTCGGAACTTCGTCATAAGGTCATAACATGACTCCATGCAGCCAATAAGAAGGCTATAAACTCAATATCCGTGCTCAATTTTTACTGAAAAAAAAAATTACTCCTCTTTTTTAGACACTTCTACTCAGCAAAGACGCATTGTTCCAGTACACAACAGGAAAAGTGATTGACCTGGTTTCCAACGATGTTCAGCGATTGGAAGGGGAGACTATCAAGTGGATCTTTTTGGGTTCCATTTCATTTATTGAGCTCCTGACTGTACCGTTTTTAATGGTGTATTTCATTGGCTGGCAGTCTCTCATGGGAGTATTCTTTTTGTACCTCCTCCTTCCATATTTCGTCTTACTGTCCCAAGGAGGTGCTGTTCTGCGCTTGCGTACAGCGGCGGTCTCTGACCAACGCATCTCTCTAATGAATCAGATTGTTTCAGGGATACGCACTATCAAAATGCATGCGTGGGAAGATGAATACCGGCAACAAATCAAGAAACCACGAAGGTGTGTAAAGATATTATGAAACTGATAGTTGTATACTGAACCCAAGTTTTATGCAGGCTGTTTAATGCGCTCTTAGATGAAGTAATGTTGTTCTTGTTCCTACTCGATTCCAATTTTACTTTACTTTACCGCCGTTTCCATATTTCGTGCGAAATGAGTTATCTGGCAGTAATTGGCATAATCTTTTGGTAGCGAATCAAAGAGATCACCAAGAACACCAAGACCACTTAGTATGTATGTCAGTCTCAATTTTTATCAAAACATCCCAATTTTGCTCTTCCTTTTTTTTCAGAGATGAAATTTCCATTATTCGAAAGAAATGTGTTCTACGCGCAGGTGTTTTGGCCCTCAGATTCACTTCGGTTATCATTGCAACACTGCTGTCAGTCATTACCCTTGTGCTGACTGAGGAAACTCTTACGCCAGTCAATGTCTTTGTGTTGGTTTCATTTAACAACATGCTCACATTATGTATCGGCACTTACCTTGGGCTTGCCTTGTTAGAGGGATACGAAGCTTATGCCTCGCTTGGTAGAATTGAAGAATTTCTCCTTTTGAAAAATTTGCGAGTCATTTCAAGCGATCGCTCAAGCCAAAAAGAAACAGAAATTGAAGCTGAAAACCCATCTGAGATGAAGAGAAATTCATTAGATTGCCAGAAAAAACGGAGAGGTCTTTCCACAGCTGATGAATTACAAGATCAAACGTCATTACGTGTGAGAAGTTTGGCGTACAAGCAAGCGGAGCGACAAGACTCCTACATTCTTCAAGATATCGAGTTTTGCACTCCTGTTAGTAGTTTAACAGTCATCACCGGGCCAGTTGGTAGTGGGAAATCTACTCTTCTATCAGTGATCGCTGGTGAAGTTCCATGCACACACGGAGAAGTGTCATGCCGAGGAACTTTAGCGTATGTTCCGCAGACGGCTTGGGTATTCTCTGGAACCATACGAGATAACATTTTGTTTGGTCTGTCATACGAGGAGCAAAAGTACACCAGAGTTATTGAAGCTTGCGCTCTAGCTGACGACATCCAGCAGTTTCCTAGCACCGATCAAACAGGCGTCGGCGAGCGCGGTGTTGTTCTGAGCGGAGGCCAGCGGGCTAGGGTAAGTTTAGCACGCGCAGTGTACGCTGATGCAGATCTGTACGTTTTGGATGATCCTCTGAGTGCCGTAGACTTCAAAGTTGGACAACACATATTTGAAAAATGTGTCAAAGAACTACTAGGAAATAAAACTCGGGTGATGGCCTCTCATCACAAGGACCACATAAAAGATGCCGATGAAGTGATCGTGTTATATAAGGGCCGTGTGCTGGAAAGGGGAGGTTTCCTTGAGTTACAAGACAAAGGAATCCTTAATAACACTATTGACCCGCCCCATAAGAAGATTTCAAAAGGAAGTTTAGGAGAGGAATTTGCGAGAGAGGAAGAAAATAAGGGTGTTGAAGCTGCTGGCAACTTGATTGGAATTGAAAATCCATCGAAAGAAACCAGGAGTCTTCTGACGCCACAAGAAGATCGGGAAATCGGAGTAATTTCTTCCAAGCTTTACTGGAACTATTTTAGAAGCGGACTGTCTACTTGGATGATTTTGGCGATAACCCTTTTCACTATAATTGTCCAAGGTAAGACTTAGAGAGGCTTTTCCAAAGACCTCACTGTGGATCCCTCTACTGCACAAGATTAGCCATAGTTGTTCACATAAAATTTCGACATGGTCACTCGTAAAAGTTTCCGCACCTCGGGCGGTTAATTTGCCTTCAATTTGAGTTCTCATTTGCGATGTGTTGCTTTCTTCTGCTTGGCTATAACCTAATTGCTTGAAGTTAACAACAGTTAATCGAAATGCGCCCGATATAATTACCTTAACATGTACAATGTATTAAAGTATGAGCTAAAAACTTTAAATATTCACCTTGCAAAGAATTTTGGCAAATATTCCGTCATACACTGGAGCCTTTTACGTAGTATTCCAAGTGAGGCTGTTTGCCGTTTTGAAACGTCTTGATGTGCCATGCGGTAGCTTTATGTTTAAGACTGAACTGAGGGAGAACCATAGGTGCTTCACTTCATAGCTTATGAAATATCGATGATAAGAAATAGGGTTTGACATAAATTACGGAAACATGCGGAGCACGCATTTGACAGTGGTACTGCACTAGCAAAAAAAATTTGAAAACCTTATCCTTCTCACTTTCATGCATCTTGTACCTAGAAGATCTCAACATTCACATGCAATATGACCATTAAGAAAGGCGCAAAATTCTAAAGTGTATCAGATTTCAGATGAAACGACGGCCATGCCATTTTCTTTTCAGGATTATTGGCTGCTCCTGACGTGTGGCTCTCGTTTTTGACAAAGCAACTTCCTCAAGATCAAAAAGATCGATCGAGCTTAGAAGTCTACGGATGTCTTACTGGAGTAGCACTTTTATTTGTCTTAGCACGAACATTTATATTACTCTCCTGCTTTTTGCGATGCTCTGAGCGTCTTCATGATAAGATGGTCGTTGCCATTTTGAAAGCTCCTGTTATGTTCTTTGATTCGAATCCGGTGGGAAGAATCCTTAATCGATTTTCTAAAGATGTTGGTTGGTTGGACGAGCAGTTACCCAAAACGTTTCAGTCAGCGATCGATACAGTTTTACTTGTGTCTGCGTCAATAATCATCCCGACTGTTATGAATCCTTGGTTATTTTTCGTACTTGTACCGTTGATTGTGGCCGTTATATACTTCTCCACGTATTATTTGAAGACATCCCGGGAGCTTATGAGGTTAGCGTCCATATGTCGTAGTCCAGTATTCTCTAAAATTTCGGAGACCCTTGATGGACTAGACACGATTCGAACCAGAGGGAGAGAAAGTGATTTTGTGGAGGAGTTTTACAGGTGGGTTTATTATACTATTTATTATAATTACCTCAATAAGGAGGATACAGTCCCCAGGGTGTGTCACACAGTGCCAAACAGAGGGTACTCAAAAGTTTTCGTCACCTGGATATTGTTGGTTGTTTGCTTAAAAAAAGGTTTACAAGCAAGAGCACCCAGGTCTCTCCCCCTTGCTACGCCCTTGGTCCCCACTTACGAAAAAGGGTAGGAATAAAGTCTACTAAAAGCTCTGACATTTTTTCCCTCTGCTTATTTTGGGAGAAATAAGTGCGATGTCCCAGTGATTAATGGACGTTTTTTTCGGTCCCTTAGAAGTTTAATGGACCAAATAACAATACAGCCTCCTCTAATTTTTCTTTTGTATGTGTGTTTTCCTAAAGACATCATGATGTTCTTAATCAAGCAAACATCTTGGTATTGGCCAGTGGGAAATGGATCAGTGTGCGCTTTGAGATTCTTGCATCACTATTTGTTGGTGCAGTGGCTTTAGCAGCTGTTTTGGTATCTCAAGATGCCGGTGAGTATATAGTCAATAAACAAAACAAAGTCTAAATCATAAATTTATCTTTAAATTAGTGAACGAAACCTCAATAAAATCAAAGCAGTCACATCAGCTTCTCAGAAATATGGTGATCAGTAAAAAGGCGTATACGTAGTACAAGGCATTCGAATAGACCCGAGAGAAGTTTTAGAGCCACTTTAAACAGCACGTTTCCGCATGCGATCCAAACAGGCCTCCATCAAAGCAACTGAAGCGATCCTCATAAAAGAATTTGCCCTTGATGATTAACCCCTACACTGCCTTATATCACCTCCTACGACAAGTTCCAGTGATTAGAAACTTCTTTGACTATTTGATGTAAAAAACCAATTAGTAACTTGTTTGGTAAGATCTAAGTGTCCAATTTTTCGTTCAATCAGCTTTTGCTGGACTTGCCTTGGCCTACGTCGTCGAAAGATTTGGGCCGGCTCAAAACGCCGTAAGAAAAACCGCGGAAGTCGAGAATCTAATGACGTCAGTTGAACGAGTTATTACGTATACCAAGCTTGAGTGTGAGTCTGGATACATAATAGAACGACGACCCCCGGAAAAATGGCCAAGTGAAGGAAATATCATACTTAAAGACGTTTCACTAGCATATTATCCGGGAGGACCGCAAGTGTTGAACAACATCAAACTCAATATCGAAGGAGGAGCAAAGATCGGTGTTACTGGCCGGACGGGGTCTGGAAAGTCATCTTTTGTGGCAGCTCTAATGCGCATGCCTGAATCGTGGGGTGAAATAATCATTGATGGCATTCCAATAAAGGCAATCAACCTCCAGGAAACTCGACGATGCATATCCGTTCTTGGCCAAAGTCCAGTGCTGTTCAGTGGTTCATTGAGGAAAAATCTCGATCTCACTGAGCAGTTTACCGATGCGGATTTATGGCAAGTTCTACAAGATGTGCAAATGAAAGAGTCAGTAGAAAGTCTTTACGGTCAGCTTGATCACGAACTGTTAGAAAATGGTGCAAATATCAGTGTAGGAGAACGACAGTTGATTTGTTTGGCTCGTGTGCTGTTGCAACGAAACACGATCATCGTTTTGGATGAACCCACTGCAAATGTAGATCCAGAAACAGAAAAAACAATCTGGGGCGTAGTGCGTGAAAAACTGAGAGATTCTACGGTCATTACTATAGCTCATCGATTGAACACCATTCTGGACTGTGACAAAGTTCTATTTTTGAAACATGGAGAGGTAGCAGAGTTCGACAAGTTGGACACATCAATGAACATAGAAGGAAGTGAGTTGGGTGAAATGGCGTGAATTGCAAATAGCAATAGAACGTAAATATACGTAGCTAATTTACTGACTGGACAGTTTTTAGTAAATGTTCTTTAACGTTACGGAAATGGTGGGTGTTTTATGCAAAGCTAATGATGAGTTATCTCTATATTCATAAATTAAGGGAGTATGCATTTAGTCTTGTTCAGTTGTTGGACGAGACTGAGCTGCTGGAGGTTTAAATTCTATTTCATTCTGAGTTGTTATTACCAACAGAGGTATGGTCTTCGATTAATTCGTCCGCTGAACAGATGAGTGTTAAGGTCATTCTTTAGTATTACATTATGTTTCCTCACTGCGCATGATCTGACTCATGCTCGAAGGGCGTCAATTTTGAAAAATTAGGCTTTTTGTTTATGGCTAGACGCCGCTAGAGAGAAATCGTCATTTTCACGAAAACGAAAAACAATGAACTATCGTTTGATTTGTTTTGTTTGATTTTCTGGTGGGTTGATATTGATAAGTGTAAGAGTAAATAAGTCAGCTGATAATGGAAGAAATCAACGTATAAATAGAAGTTAGCGCTTCTCCTTGGGGAGTGTGCGACGTCCTTTTCATTCTTCGAAATTTAAGTTCCCAAAAATAAAAACCACAAAGTAAAGTCTGTTAAGCATTTCAGGGCAGGTTCTATTTCAGTGGAATGACGTTTCTGGCATGTTTAGCAAACGCAAGTAGTATAGTTCTTGGGGCTTTTCACGCATTTTCGCAGCAGTACGATTCTAGCACATATTTATCATCTGTCAAGTCTCAGCAAGGATATATTTCCGCTTCTACAACCATTTTGTAAAATCACTGCTCAGCTACTTGAAAAATGGTTTTTATGATAAACATGTTTTGCGCTGGCTTTTTTGCATTATAATCCATAATATATTAATTATATTATAGATCCGTAGAGATGAAAGATTATAAAGTATTAAAATCAAAGAATTTCTATAGTATAAACGCAGAGATATAGATATTAAAATGTTAAAATCAAAGAATTTCTATAGTATAAATGCAAAGAGATAAAGATATTAAAATGTGATAAATTAAAGAAATAATATTGACATACAGCCCACATGATGACGTCATTGAAACATGTTGTCGATTAGGGACTTTCCTAAAGAAAAAACGCTAAACTTTTTGTGTAAAATTTGCAAAAATATTTGCCTTTGTATTCTGTTGTCTCTGTATTATACATATGATGTCACGCCATCTTGGTGAATGTAACGCTAATCATCAAAACAAGACACTTTAGTAAGCTTGTAGCAGCCTAATTCGTGATTCATGCTTCTGATTATATTCATTTTATGGTACATTTGTTCGTTGTTGAATAATATGATCTTATAATTGACGTGTGCGATGTTTTTGCTGATTACATTCTTTTTGATACCTTTAGCAGTTTTACTGCCTTTGTCATTGTCTTTCATGTAACTGTACATTTTTGATCGTAGTAAGATGAATTTGGTAATTGGTATACCTCCGGCCTCGTATTTAAATTTTCCATGACTTTCTTATGTTTGGAATCCTCTGAATATTCATTATTATCAAATCTGTGTGCTATTGCGGAAGTCTTTGTAAACATCCTTCTTTTCGATTTCATAAGTCAAACTGTCAGTGTTTGAGAATGATAATTTCCTTTTATCATTGTACTTGTCTTTGATATAATAGTTGTGAAATCATACATTAATGTCTTGCTAAGATCCAGAATACACATCCCAATATATGCCGGCCTGTTGAGAGTTTCTTTGATCTTACGCACAGCAACTAAATTTTCATAAAAAGATTTACTGCTGAAAAATGTTGTTTTTGAACTGTATTTGACCAAAGTTTTGTTATCAGTGATCAGTTTCAATATAATAAGTCAATATAATGCTTCAACCACAGGGATTGATTAAATTGCAAAACTCTATGTAACTCTCAGTTACTTTCAAACCCAAATCCATGTACAAATGAAGGCTTCTGTAATGAAGGACATACTTTTCTTTGTTAGGTAATGTTGGGATCAACTTTTTAACCTGCCCGATGCTCATACCAGATTTGTCTTTAATTTTTTGACAATATTTTGATAGTATCATCAGACACACTCAGTTTTTCTGTAGCAAGGGGATAATCATTGAGACTATCATGCAATTCTTTTGGATATTCAAGATCAGTTTCAAGTACCAATCCTTTTTTACTGTCGTCAGGATATTTTGCCAGATTTAGTTTGTCAATATTCTTTTCACTCATCCATTTGAATCCTTCCGTTGGTAGGTATTGGCTCATTGTCCAAACACATTGATGCAGATGTCATTTTGTTTCTCAATTTTTTTGTAATGTTTTATAGAGACCGGAAATCGGACCAGACCAGAATAATCTAAACAATTAATATAATTCTTATCAGTTTTTTAATTCTCTGTGGATCTTTGTCTTGTGGGTTGAGGTGTGTGATGTGACACCATCGATAACACTCATCGTCTTTATTTTTAAGGTTAATGACACGTTTCATTTCTTTTGTTCTCCAGCTGAGGTGTTGTGTGGAATGTGATGTTTTAACAAGAACAATTGGAAGCAAAACATCTAAGCCCTTAACACGCTTGCAGTGCTTTATTTCTACATATCAGAAATCAAATAAATAGTAATGTGCACATTAAGGATTAAGTTTTCTACTATCGCACTTTCTGTAAACTTTCACTCCAAATGTGAGTTAAGAAACATTTGGTTAGTAACTATCAATAAAAATCCCATCGCAAATGCTAGAATAATTGACTAAATACTTCGGTTTGAAAATACACTATCAATTATTGGACATGCTCGAGGCATAAAAAAGATCTGCCAGAAAAAACTTCCTAACTTCGATAGCTAAAAAACCTTGAACAAAATTTCCCGCTGCGGACTCTGAGCAAGGACAAGCTCAAACACGGCTAGCGATGACAATTATCGTACAACAGGCCTATTACAACTGTCGAGAACCAACTACTCAAATGGTAAAAATAAATGTGTAGTCTTGCAGCAAATAACAAATCAAGACTCACAAGACTCGCATAATGATTGCAAAATAATCTAACAGGCCTAAACAATTCACAAACATTAAGCCAGAACATTTCTAATTTTAGTAGTTGCCAAAGACCTCTAAATTTAGTAGTTCATAACAACTGACGAGGTGAAAATGAAAAAAACTCAATTTCTTTATTAGTAAAAGACGTCTTCTTAGAGGAAAGAAAGAAAACTATCCTGTTCACACCGAACGCTGACAAAATCAAGCTGTTTATCAAAACCCTTACTTAAATTGTTTAGATCGCTGGATGTACGGTCGCAATTTTCGATTTAACCGGAATATTATAAGCATCTAGACCTGGCGTTTGACCTCTCGTATCGAACTCGATATTAACTTCAGGGCGAAATATCAGTAGATGCGTGGACCCACCAAAGTGAAACATGCCGAGCTGGTCACCTTTCTTCACTCTATCCTTTTCTTTAACGGTGATTTCGTTGGAGGACACCTCTGACATACCGATTGATACGAAGCACATTAAGCCAATATCGGGATTGTCAGCTTGAATGTAGATAATACCTCTGGCAGCTACTTGGGCTAGGTATCCTTGTGACATGTTGGGCGATGCAGGGTCATTCTGGATGTTGTGGGTAGCAGAATAATAGGAACCATCCACGAGTTCTGTCTTGTAAATGGTGCCCGACACAGGACTGTGCCATCGGTGATAACTAGTGGCACTTAGGAAGGCTTGGTAGACGGTTCCACCATGAAATCGCTTGGCAAGGTCACTCATGTTCAGGATAAAGTCCATTGAGTACCGTTGGTGCTTTATCCAGAAGATGTCCCTGTGTTTCACGGCTGTAGAGATTTGATATGGCGCCGACTCACAAGCATTCGCGACAATGGAATCGTCGTCCGGAGATGCTACTGGACGAATGCCATTACGGAACTCTCTGGTGAAGAAATCATCCCATGAAGTAAAACCGTGATGTTTTTCATTAGGCTTACATTTGAACTCTTTGTCGAAGTTTGGCATTGCTTGCATTGCGTGTTCACCAAACCAACCATGACGAGGATCTTCATTCAACACGTAACAAGAGGCAGAACTGGAAAGAAACTTTCCCCAATAGTTGAGAATACTTTTGAACAACGTGTTGACTTTGTCGTTGAGGAAAGCAGCAAATCCAGCAGTCGTAGCCATCGGCCAGTTCAGGATGACATTGATGGGGAAGCCAACCAAACCAGTTTCGTTGTACTCTGGAGCTGTGGTCATGATGTGATTGATTAAAATAATCTGTGACGATACGTTTTCTCTCCAAACTGGGGAACTGACTCTTCGCGGACGGCACAATAACAACTGGGGAAAATAACTCTGTAGAGACGACTTGGCAGCGAGAACGGAAACTCGTCACGATTTCCTGGTACACGGAGATCTACTTCGAGCGAGCTTATACGGACGTCAAGGATAAGACAATCTTTGGTTCCACAGTACTTTTATTCTAGGTCAGGCCAACAAGCGACATGACCTCTAGCATACTCTAGTTTGTAATCATCAAAGCTGTACAAGGTACTTGCTTAAGAAGTAACTGGTGCGAAGTGCTATTGTTACACGAATCGCAATATTTGGATAAGGACACAAAGGAGCGGAAAAAAGTCTCTTTGAAGCTAAACAAAAACTACTTAAATATTCCATCTGTTTCTACGACGGAAAGAATCTCAAAATTAAAAAGACGGATGCAATAAACTTTAGGCCATTAAAGTAGGAAACCTAGGTGCGAATTTACAGCTCTGGTATAGAAAACAATACCTATCTTAATTGCAGTAGCGCAGCTCAGGAAATAAAAACGGAAAAGCAATTAAAAGTTTCTGCTTATCTATGCAAGATTGGTTTGGAAACCATCGCATGAAAAGAAATTAAATTTACGAGTATAACTCAGCTGCTATCTACCATGAAAACCAATGTTTCCAGAAAGACCATTAACACTTATATTTACCTAAAAAAACCATGTACTAGATGACAAAAGTGCCGACAAGCAGGTGCATAGTAAAAGCGAGTAATCGATAAAAATCCATTCTAAAAGCCACTGTGGTTTTTATACATTTTTATTTAACTACCAAAGGAAAAAAACCCGAATAACCGAATATTCCAAATGTAAAAGTAT